CATGTTTTTATGAGAGTATAACATTATAACATGATATAAAACTCAAAAAAGTGGATTTTACATGATATTGCCCCTTTATTGAAACAATGGCTATCGTTTAATTCAGGGATTACAGCCCACAGCTTCTGTCAGTGCCCCAGGGCAGCTGTGGCTACACTGTAGCTTACCATCATCAGTGTGTGAATGTCTGTAAGTGTGAAGAGCTTTGGGGTCCGGAGGGACTTGACAAAGTGCTCTATAAGTTCAGTCCATTTACCATTACGTAGACTACAGGCCACCTACACTGTCAGAATAAAGTACTAGATTGTACCTTTAGGGGTACATTGGCTTATTGCTTCAATGTCCATCTTCTGACATTGTACCCTAAAATCATCAATACAGGGTACATATATGTACCATTAACTACTTAGGAACATAATTGTACCTTTCAAGCCTTCAATAAGTACAAATATGTACTGTAAGGTACAATTATTAGCTCTATAGGGGTAAAAAAGTCCAGAATGTACCTCAGGGGACAGAAATGTACTTAGAATACACAAAAATGTACTCCTACTGTACCCTTTTTTCTGACAGTGTAGGTTGTCTGTGAAATGAGACAGATGACATGTTTGTGTGATAACTCGCTGCCCTGTTTCCATGGTGTTATTGTTTATATCACATGACTTCAATTGTCCTTTCACAGTATAGCTTCACCGAATTCAGTATTATAAAAAAAAAGGTTACACGTAAATAAATAAATAAATAAAAACATTCATATTTTTTGGGTTTGGCTCCAGTATCAGTACTTGTAGTTGCATTTTATTTAACATCTCATTGCAGCATCAATTTCATCAGCTAAGTTTCTAAACTTACATTCAAAACCAGATTTTTCAGTCCGTGACAAATTGCCAAAGTGTGCCGTAAAAAAAAAAACATAAAACGAAACTGCGCCGTCTTTTTATTTCTGTTTAGTTTGCTGATGATGCAATGAATCCTGAGATATCCTCAGCCACATTGGATGGGTGCGGCCTACTTTTTTTTGTTTTGTTTTTCAGTTTTGACTGATGCTATCTTTTAAAAATTGCATTTATATTTCTAACAAAATGTTGAAGTCACAGACACTTTAAAGTTTTCATCAGTAGGGACGTAAATGACCAGGATTAGGAGGAGTAAATGAGAGTTAAATGTGTAGAGGAGAGATGGTGGATTTATTGGATAAAAGCTGTTAAATATGGAGCTGCCGAGTTAAAGATGGAGGTAATACAGAGGGTTGGTGTGACAGAGGAGGACGCTGGGATTAAATTGCCTCTAGTTTGGTTTTCAGTCAGATTATAGTTATAAAAACAATTTGATGAAACAAACTTTGCCAKTTTCTCTTCTGTTTTTCACTATTTGACTAAACTGTTTGTCTTTATTCCTTCCTGTCACTATTCTGATAAACTCAACGGTCCCAGTGCTCTTAATCCAAGCTTTAATCCACCCACTGTTTTCTAATCTGCACTTATATTATTGATAATTACAGATGAAAGAGTTCTAGTATTTACCAGAACCACCACCGTCATCGTTTGAAGCCTTATTTATTCAGCCAGTTTTGGGATTGATATCAATTATTAATCTGTTGTTTATGCCGAACTAATTCACACTGAGGTCAAGGAAAGGACATAAAAGAGATTTTTAAAAGAGGAAAATGTAAATTAGTTCAGAGAATCTTTCCTACAGAAATAAATTTTCATGTTTATTTATTTTCCTGTTTAATTTGTGTTGCAGACTTTACATAAATTTAAGAATCCACACTCTAAGAGACATGAAATGGGATTGTTCAAACTGGAGTTATTCATTTTTACTGTGTGTGTGTGTCAGGAAAAGTTTTTTTAAACAAATAAATATCAAGTATTAAAAATTTTAAATATTTTACTAGTGAAACTTGGATTTATTTTCCCTGTAAGAAAGAAGACCAAAAAAAGTGAAGAAATTTATAGTTATTTATAGATTAGTACTGATGTTAGGAAACAACAGGATTAGGATTTCCTTTTATAATACTTGTATAATGTTTGATCTATTATGTGTTAATTGAAATAGAGTAGGTACATGTCCGAATTATATACAACACATAAGTGAACCGTTTTTAAACCGTTAGAGTGAGGTCTTTGTCTGAATGCCTGTGATTCAGCCGTAGGTCAGTAGGGGGCGAACTCAGGCATTGAAGAATCGTGTATAAAAACATGCACTTCCTGTTTTTCATTCAGTGTGGTTTCACTTGTCAGCCGGTGACAAATAAACCTCACTCAGATCCAGGGCCGGATTAACACTTCGCTGTACCC